TGGGTTTTATTTCTTCCAGTTTCCTTCTTAGACTTCCCTCCTTTTTTTTTTTTTTTTTTTCTTCTTATTTTTTAACAGTGTTCACCTCCCCCTCCCTTAAAAGTAACCTCTGAGTCATTCCTGCCTCCTCGGTGTCCCTTCCACCCCCAATCCCGCTTCCTTGGGCATTCCCCTGCATCTCAGTCTGCCTTCAAGGGTTTGGAAACAAGTACTTAGTCTTGAGTTCTGATATTGGGGTGGGATAGGGAGTTAATTTTTTCTGAATTGCTGACCTTCACCCCTGCCTGCATGACCTTGGGCAGTAAGTCCCATCTCTGAGCCTCGGTTTCCTCATTTGGAGCCTGTTGTCATGAACCCCCCTCCTGAGTGGTTTGGGGGCCAGCTGTGCCTGGGTCATGGGAGGGCCTTGGTCATGGCACATTTCCAGACCGGGTTAAGACTTGAGGGGTAGACACATGCATGGATCCTGGTGTTGGACTGCACAGTCACGGTGAGCGACTGACGTGCTCAACAGCCCACATCTGCTCCCAACATTGGGAAAACCTGCTTATAATGTGTCTGAAATATATAGGCACAGTCCTATGAAGAAAATGAGAAATGAAACTTCTTGTTATAGGCAGGAAACATTAAGAAGCAGAAAAGCTCAGAGCCGAGTGGCTGCTGGTGACTTGCAATGTCAGGCGGTCACTAAGGGGGAGGTTTCCACCTCTGTATGAGACAGAGGAGAACCCCTGGGCCTTCACACTCAGGGAGGGGTCATGGTTTTGGATGGAAGTGGGGAGTTGTGGCTCCTCCTCCCCTGTGTTTGTGGATGGCACTGGGGTATCTCTGCCCATTGACTCAGGTCCATGGTCACCCCTGAGCCGCCTCCTCCATGTGTGTGAAACAGATTCACTGCAGCGTTATCACACATGGGCGTCTGTCCCACATGCGAGCCTGAGGCTCACATTGGACCCTCCCCTGCTGGTGACAGCCCTGAGCAGACTCGTGTGGCACTGGCGGGTGGCACCATCTCCCCTTTTCCAGCCTTAGCTCCCCGCACAGCCCTGGTAGAAACCCTCTCTGGAAGGTGAGGCATGTGGGAAGCATGTGTCCAAGAATGACAAGAAGGAGGAATTGTCCTCATGATCAAAAGTGCTATGATGGGCCGGGCACCGTGGCTCATGCCTGCAGTCCCAGCACTTTGGGAGGTCAAGGCGGGCCGGTCACTTGGGCCCAGGAGTTCAAGACCAGCCTGGGCCACACAGCAAAACCTCTTCACTACAAAAAATACAAAAATTAGCTGGATGTGGTGTCATGAATAATGGCCTCCAGCTCATCCAAGTTGCTGCAGAACTCAATCCCTTGTACATCAGTTGCAAATAATTAAAAATACCTAAGAAGATACCTAACCAAGGAGGTGAAAGATCTCTACAAGAAGAACAGTAAAACGCTGCTGAAAGAAATCGTAGATGGCACAGCAAAACAGAAATATATCCCATGCTCATGGATTGGAAGAATCAGTATTGTGAAATGATCATACTGCCCAAAGCAATCTTCAGATTCAATGCAATTCCCATCAAAATACCAGTATCATTTTGCACAGAATTAGAAAAAGCAATCCTAAATGTCAGGCCTCTGAGCCCAAGCTAAGCCATCACATCCCCTGTGACCTGCACGTACATATCCAGATGGCCTGAAGCAACTGAAGAGACACAGAAGTGAAAATAGCTTAACTGATGACATTCTACCATTGTGATTTGTTTCTGCCCCACCCTAACAGATGGATGTACTTTGTAATCTTCCCCACCCTTAAGAAGGTTCTTTATCATCTCCCCACCCTTAAGAAGGTTCTTTGTAATTCTCCCCACCCTTGAGAATGTACTTTGTGAGATCCACCCGCTGCCTACAAAACATTACTCCTACCTCCACCGCCTATCCCAAAACCTATAGGAGCCAATGATAATCCCATCACCCTTTGCTGACTCTTTCGGACTCAGCCCGCCTGCACCCAGGTGAAATAAACAGCCTTGTTGCTCACACGAAGCCTATTCAGTGATCTCTTCACACGGACACGTGAGACACTAAAATTCATATGGAACCAAAAAAGAGGATGAATACCAAAGCAATCCTAAGAAAAAGATCAAATGTCAATTGAATACACATATCCTAGGCTGAATTGTGGGGTTTTGTTTTTGTTTTTGTGAGACAGAGACTTGCTCCGTCACCCAGGCTGGAGAAACGAAACCTTATTCAAAAATATAGAATTGTTTGTGAAACCTGGCAATTGTGAATAGTGCTGCAATGAACTTAGGAGTGTGGACATCTCTTCTGTGGCCGATTTCATTTCCTCTGGGTATACACCCAGCAGTGGGCTTGCTGGATTATACGGTTGTTGCACTTTAGTTTTTTGAGGAGCTTCCATACTGTTTTCTAAAATGGTTATATTAATTTACACATCCACCAATGGTGTGTAAGGATTTTCTTTTCTCCCCATGCTCACCAACACTGATCTTTCACCATTTTGATAATAGGCAATCTAACAGCTGTGAAGTGATAGCTCACTGCAAAATTTCACTTTTTACACATATATGTGTATACATATGTATACATATATACATACACATACACATGCATATATATGTACATACGTATCTGCACATATGTACATATGTATGTGTGGATGTATATGTATGAATACACACATTTGTATATATACGTATATGTACATACTTACATACATATAAACTTCAAGAAGCTATAAACTCACATCTGTTAGGATGGTTACTACGAAAGAGTAAAGTAGCAAGTGTTGTGAGAATGTGGAAAAAATGGAATACTTGCACTCTGCTAGTGGTAATGTAAATGAGTACAATGACTGCAAAAATAAAATAGATGTTTTTCAGAAGTTAACGATCAGAACTGCCCTATGTTGCAACAATTTCCCTGCTGGGTATGTATCTAAAGAAAACGACATCAGTACGTTGAAGAGACGCCCATATTCATGACAGCTTTAGTCACCATAACCAAGACGTGGAACCCGCCCAAGTGTCCACCAGCAGGCGAGTGGCTACAGAAAAGGAAGTGCTCAGTGTATCCACAGTGAAAAACTACTCAGCCTTCTAGAAGAAGGAAATCATTTCATTTGTGACATGGATGAGCCTCGAGGACATCACGCTACGTGGAGTAAAGGAGGCACAGGAAGAACCCTGCTGCCTGATCTCACTTACGTGTGGATTGCCCCAGTTCAGCTCATGGAAGTAGAGTCGAAGGTGATTTTTGGGAGCTGAGGGGGCGGGGGTGGAATCAGAGAGCTGCATCGAAGGATACCGCGTTTCAGTTAGGCAGGAGTGAGTTTAGCAGAGCTGTTGCACAATACGGTGACTACAGTTGCTCACAACGGATTGTATACGCGAACACTGGTAAGAAAGTAGATTTTAAATGTTCTCTTAACAGAAAGGTAACTATGTGATGTTACAGATGTTAATTAGCTTGACCTAGCGATTTCACAGGGCATATTAAAATTTCACAGGATATATTAAAATAAAACACCCGAAGTATGTAGAATTTTAAATTGCCAAATAAAATAAAGTAAAACATTAAAGTAAAATAAAAAAATCATTCTGAAACAAAAAAAAACATAGTTTAAAACATGCCTTTTATAGAATGGAAAATTCCATTCTATAATGTGATGACTTTTTTTTTTTTTTAATTTTTTGAGACAGAGTCTAGCTCTGTTGCCTAGGCTGGAGTGCAGGGGCGTGATCTCAGCTCACTGCAACCTCCACCTCCCGGGATCAACTGATTCTCCTGCCTCTGCTTCCCCAGGAGCTGGGATTGTAGCGTGCGCCACCATGTCCAGCTAATGTTTTTTTTTTAGTAGAGATGGGTTCGCTATGTTGGACAGGCTGGTCTCGAACTCCCGGCCTCAAGTAATCTGCCACTTCTGCCTCCCAATGTGTTGAGATTACAGGTGTGAGCCACCGCACCTGGGCACATTGCCTCTTTTTCTATTCTCAAGAAACATTTGTGACACTCTGGGTGTGTTTGTGTTTCATTAGTGTGTCAGTATTTGTAAGAAATCACCAGTGAAGCTTCGTGAACTGGAGTTTATACCATGGGAACATTTTTATTGCAGTGTTTTTCACACACACACACACACACACACATCTAAAATGGGTCAGATTCTCTGATTACTCTTATGTTCATTACGTAAACTCCAGTTTGCAATACTTCATCTATTTAATCTGCATTTTCTAGTATATTGGCATAGGTTTGTCGCCTGTTCTGTTGTTAGTTTTTGAAAACATATGTGGGATCTCTAGGGCTGTCTGCTGGCTCACTCCTGTGTGGAAATGCGTGCCTGCTCTTTCTTTCTCTTGCTCATTGTAGTTAGGATTCGTGAGTGCAATTAATGTTTTCAAGAATGAGCTTCACTGGCTTTGTTGAATTTTCAAGCTTTGGTTTTTCCTCATGAACTACTCCTCTTATTATTATTATTCCCTTTCTTACGCCTTCATTTGGAATAATTTGTTATTCTTCTTCTAGATTTCTTTTCTTTTTTCTTTTTTTTTTTTGGAGACAGATTCTCCTTCTGTCGCCAGGCAGGAGTGCAGTGGTGCGATCTCGGCTCACTGCAACCTCTGACTCCCTGGTTCAAGCGATTCTCCTGCCTCAGCCTCCCGAATAGCTGGGACTACAGGCGCCCGCCACCACTCCCAGCTAATTTTTGTATTTTTAGGACAGACAGGGTTTCACCATGTTGGTCAAGATGGTCTCAGTCTTCTGACCTCGTTATCTGCCCGCCTCGGCCTCCCAAAGTGCTGGAATGTCAGGCGTGACTCACCGCGCCCGGCCCTAAATTTCTAATAGGAAAACCATGATCATTCATTTCCTACATTTTTTTTCTTTTCTAATTCATTCATTCGTGGCTTGTAGTTTTCCAATTTCATCATTTGATGTGTAATATTTACATTGTGATTCAGTTCAATGCACTTTCTGACTTTTAGTTTTCTCAGTGATTATTGACGAGTCTGTTGCTTTATTTCAAAAACGTATAGATGTTAGTTATTTATACTGCAGAACTGAGTGACCTCTAAAAGTTTCCAGCGTCTCCTGGTGTAGGTCCAGGCTGGCTGGGGTTCAATGGTGTCCACTGGGGGCAACTCCCATGCGTTCCAGACTCCCTGGAATGTGGGGTCTGGGTCCCCTCTGGGCTAGTGGATGGTCAGGGTGGCGTAGATGCTGGACTCAACTGGAGGCGCCCTTTCCTGGGATGGAGGAGGCTCAGTTGCCTCCCGTCTGAGGGTCAAGCTCTGCAGCTGGGCGTAGGTCACATCCTGGGGGTCTTCAGATGCAGCAGCCTGCAGTGGGGGAGAGTGAGAGGGAAGGACTCACCTGAGTGTCCATCTGCCTGTCCTCTTCCGCCTGTGTGTCCTTTGTGTCCAGGAATTCCTCGGACAGTGGGGAGGGAGGAGAGGCCATTTCTCTCCTAGGTCTGGAGTGTTTCACCTGGGCATGTCACTGCCTGGGAGTCTTCATCAGTGTAGCTCTGCTGAAGAAAGACACTGGTGAGGTATGTAGTCCCTGACCTCCTGGGAGTCAGTTTCCTCCACTGTGTTCCCAGGAGTCTGATTACATCCTCTGATGGGATCTCGCAGACACCTAAGGCTGTGCAGAAGTCTGGCCTCTCCTCACCTTAGTTCTGGCCTCTCTCTCCTCCTCTGGCCCTTGCATTGGCTGCAGCCTCACATAGCCTTCCTGAAGAGCTCGCTGCTGCCTCGAGGCCACTGCAGCTGTTTCCTCTGCCTGCAGGGGCTCGACTCATGAGATCCTGTGGCCCCATCCGTCCAGGCTTCAGATGACAGCTGACAGGTGGCCTCTCTTACATTCAGACTGGCCTGCCCACTCTGCACGCCCTCCTGGTTGCCTGTTTACCCTACAACCACACATGCACTCCTGCACACATGCATTTATTTGCATTTTGTCTCCCACACAGGGTGAGCTCAGAGGCAGGGGGTGGCTTTGCTCTCTGCTGTGTCTTGGCTCCACAGGGCGATCTGAGCTCCCTTAGGGCTCTGCTGGATGAGTGAATAGAGAGGCCCAGGAGCAGGGTGGGCTGTCTATCCTCATCCTCCCTGAGGCCTGGGGCACACTGTAGCCACAGACAGCCAAACAGGAGGAGGAGCAGGAAGGGGACCCGGGAGGAGGCTGCGAGGTCCACAGGACAGCGGGAAAGTGAGGTCACAGCAGGCAGGAGGCAGCGGTGCTGGACAAGGAGGGTCCACCGTGTGGTGCGAGAACCGGGGGAAGAGGACAGAAGTCCTGCAGGATTAGATCATAACCAGGAAGTCTTTGGTGCCCAGGGCCAGGCAGGGTTGGGGAGTCTCCTGAGCTGTCCAGCTCACCGTCTCTAGGCTGTGTGTGTCCTTCCGGCGGCCAGCATCTGCCGGGACAGAGCCAAGGGGTTTATCTCCTGGGGTTCCTGAGACCTCTGGTCTAGTTTCACCAGCTCCAGGCAGGGCCACTGCGGTGACAAAGGGAGGGGCTGTGATGTCCCGAGGTCAGTGTCAGGTGAGGTCATCTCACACAAGGCTGACCGCCTCAGCCTGTGCCCCTTTCCCATTGCTACGGAAACTTTTGAGGCCCCATCTCCTCCTGTACAATTACTTTTCCCCATCTCCTCCTGGCTAGTCGCCTCTTCTGTCCTCCCCTAGAGGTTTCTTCTAGGTGTAGGCAGCTGGTGAGACCTGGGGAAGGAGCAGGAGCTTAGGGCCAATGCTGCAGGCCCGGTGGGAGTCTGCTCTAGTCTTCAGGCAGGAGTACCTCCTCTGAAGGCCTCTGTCTCTGGGCTCTGGCTCCCCAGCCCTGCAGATGTTTGAAATCAGCCTTTCTCTGGGCAGGAGAGAAGGGACAGAGCCTCAGCCCTGACAGTTATTCAGGCCCCTACCCCACACAAACTCCATGAGTGAGAGAAACACAGAAAACACTCCTGCCTCATGTTCCAATGCCATGAGATGAATGAGCCAGAAGATACTTTACATTGGCGGACTTTGACATTTAAGTACTTTTTCCATTCGCCTGGTAATGCTGGAAACAGTTATCTAAACTGTTTGTGAGTATAGTTTGGATTCAGCACACACTGAGGCCACCCTCGGTCAGCCCCAGGAGTCTCCCCCTTCCCCTACTCTCACCCAATGTCCAACATTTGCCCTGACGTCGATGTCGGAGGACAAGGAAGGAGGAGGAGGAAGAAAGCAGATGAAACCTGCCAGATGCCAGTCACAACCCCAGGTGCACTTCCCAGACGCCAGGCATGGATGTTAAGTAGAGGGTGATATCATTGAAATAAACCTACTGTGTGCGAGTGACTGTGTTCATTCTGCCTCCTTTCTGTGAAACATCACACCCACTTCCTGGATGAAAAACTGACGCTCAGAGAGAAGTGGAATCCTTGCCAGGACCCCCAGCCAGGGAAGCGGCAGAGCTGGGAGGAACCCTTGAGTCTGACCATGGCCCTTGTTCCAACTTGGAAGGCTGAAGAACAGACTGCAAGGGAAGAGCCTGACCGTCCTGAACCACGGCCCTCTATCTCCCCCTCCCCTGCCCCAGGTCACCGTCTTTGCTGCAGGTGGGACAGGACAGGCCCCTAACGGGTGGGTCTGGGAAGGCCACCGGAGGCCTCCTCCCCCGGAGGTCACAGCTGGGAGTCAGGCCGGGCAGTTCACCATGGACCGCCGCCCTACCTGGAGGAGCGGACAGGCAGGGGAGGGGCTGTCCACGTCACCATCTTCAGAGGTAGACCTGGACCGTCCCCCTGCCTCCCAGGACCCGCAATCCATTCTCCCACTCCAGAGCCCCCTGCTCCTGCTCTGGGGGCCGGCCGGCGTGGGTGAGGGGCTGGTCCTCCAGGGCCTGCTGTGATCAGATGAGAGAGTGAGGGCTGGGAACTGCACACCACGTCAGCCCGGCTGCTCTCTCCCCAGGCTGGGCCCCAACACCCTCTGTCGCACAGGCCCTCACCGGCCCAGCCTGGGCCCCCTGCTGGAGCCTGTGGCCTCCTCTGGCTCTGCCCCAGCTCCCGGGGTGGAAGCCTGTGCCTGAGTCTTGAGAGGTGATTCTCTACAGGAGACTCAGGAGCGCTGCTAAGGGGAGCCGTGCCTCCCTCTGGAGTCCAGGAAACTCATTGACACACCATGTGGAGGTGGGACCTGTTGGCGGGAGCTGAGGCCTCCGGAGGGATCTAGGTTAAGAGAGGCTGAGGAGCTGGGGCTTCCCTGGGATCCACCTCAGGCCAATTTCTCGTGGGGCTGTGGTCTTCCCAGCCTCTCCCTCCCACCCACCTCCTGTTCATGATGCTGGCGATGCCGCGGAGAGATGGGCATGCCTTGAAGGGAGGCCATTTGTCCTCCTCCCTCGGTGGGTGAGTCTCCCTCTGGCAGAGACCCCGTCGCACCCCCTCACTCCATGCAATGAAGCGCTCCTGGGGCAAGGCCACAGAAGGCTGAGCCTTTGGGCTCAGAGAGGACAGAATGAAGGCCCTCACACAGAGACCAGGCTCCAGGGGGTCACTGGGGACAGACAGCAGAGTGGGAGTTTGGAACACGTGAGCGCTGTAGCACCTCGCCTGGGGTCCCCGCGTGGGCTGAGGTCACAGGACTCATGGAAATTCAGCCTGGTACTTAGGATATTTGTGTGCATTGATCTTGGGTAGGTGGGCTTAGCTGCTCATGGGTCAGAAGAAAAGCTGAATTTGCCACGAAGACTCACAGGCAGGGTCACGTTCTCTCCTGAGACCACCTTGGGGGCCCGCTGCATGAGAGGAGTCTGGCATGGTGTATCCTGGAGAGAAGAAGGATGGGTGAGGGGCTGCCCCCACCAGTTTCTGAGCTGGCCTCTCAGGCTTCTATCTAGGACCCTCGTCTCTGTCTCTGTTCCTCTGAGTCTCTCCCCTCCCCCCCCATCCCCTGTCTCTGTCCTGTCTCTCTCCTTGGGACCCCACCCCTCATCCCCCAGCCATCACCTGGGCTCCCCCAGCAGGGCCTGAGCAGAGCCTGGGTCCCTGACTGAACCCGCTGGGCTCCTCCTGCGGTCAGATTATCAGGGATCGCTGAGGCCCGACCACTCCGGAGGGAGAGGTTGTGGCCGCACCGTAGCATCTGCTGCTGGCCCCGTGGAGCCTTCCCAGGGCCCAGGAAGGGGATGGCCTGGGAGAGCCCAGCCTCAGGCTGCCCAGGCTGCAGGCGCTGGAGGGAAGTCGTTCTCCCTCCTTCTTGCAGAACAGAGTCTCTTAGCCGACATCAGAGCCATGGGAGGTGGCTCACCACAGGTGACAGGACCCGGCTGCACCTGAGGTGATGGCTTCTTAGAAACACTGTGGAAAGAATTGGTCACAGTTTCCAGATGACCCTCAGGCTTCCCCCACAAACCGTCCCTCTCCCCTGGGCCTCACCGTGATCTTCCCTTATCTGGCCCCAGGAGCCTGAGCCCTCTCGTCCCAGCATCATCCTGGCTGCTGGAGCGGCTCCCCACCTGCCCGGAGATGGGGGCTCCAGGCAACGCTAATAATTCTCACATAGGACCGGAGCGCCAGTCACTGGGTAAAGACCACACACATAGTGTCAGATATAACCACGCACGGTACGACCACCTGCGGCTAGGGCTCCTTAGGACACGGAGAAGACGGCAGGATGACCCACGGGATGGGACTGGGAGTTGAGACATTTGTGGGTCTCATCTTCTCCTTCCTTACACAGAATGAAGCCCATCAAATGCCATCTGTGAGTCACTGCAGAGAAGTCACATTTCCCTCCTGGGGTACCACAGGGCTGGGCAGGAGCTGAGAGAGGTGAGTTGCTGTAGGCTCCTGGAAGGCACCATGTTCGTGGCTCCCACCTGCATCATCCCCAGGGCTGCAGGCGAAGGAGACGCCCTGAGGGCAGAGCCCTTCTACGAGGCAGGGCCTGGGGCTGGGACCCTGAGGTGTCTCTCACCTGCTCGCCACCAGCTCCAGGGGGTCGCTGAGCTCTGACCACCAACTGTGGCTGTGATACATGTGAGCCACCGCCCTGTGTTCCCAGGTGATGGATGCCCAATACAGAAATAGCCCTTCTTGACAAGCTCTTGTGCCTTCCGTCTAACCCAGGATGTGGGTTGTTGTTTTCCTTTGTGGGCAGTACTCCTGAACCTGAAGGCTCCTGGCCTACCCAGAGGTCACGGACGCTCCCCCTCGCTGATCATAGACCCTGGCTCAGCCCAGAGTGAGCTTGGGAAGAAAGTCCTGGAAGGAAATCTGGTCAGTTCTAAGTCATTTCCCCACCCAACCCAGATCTCTCAGCTCTTGGCTGCAGGACCCTCCACACCCATCAGTCCCAGCCCAGATCTGCTATTCCCCGTCTGGCAGCACAGAGGAGGCCCCTTGTCCCCAGTGAGGAGGAGGAACTGCAAGCCGAGACAGGAGCTCACCTGCCTGCACTCCTAAGTCCTGTTTAGACTCAGCCCTGGAAGAGAGTCCTCTGTGAAGGTGCCCTGTGACCAGGCAGACCCTCTCGGATCACTTTTGTGACCCTAGGTCTCCTTATGCACCAAAGATTTGGCTGTGGTAG